CCCCCCCGATAAACCCTTGCACCCCGTCCCGACCCAACCCCCCCCCCCATCAATTGCACCCCACAAGATGTAGTTGACTTTGTAGTTGACTCCAAATTCAACTACATCTTGTGGGGTGCAATTGACGGGGGAGGGGTGGGTTCCGGTCGAGACGGGGTGGGGGGGTTTATCGGGGGTAGGAACCATCAATTTTTCAAACGAAGCACCGTAGGGACTCCGGTTCATCCCATGGCATTGTTTCCAATGACATGGGAACCGTGGTGTGTGATCACACACAGCTTAAAAGTTTGGGGAAAAGGCCCATAATTTAGGGGATATAGTGACTTCTGTCAATAAATATTCTAAGTATAAATCCATTGTTTCACAGTCATCTCACCCAGTTAATGATGTGTTGAACACTACTTCCCCAACTTGAGTCCCAGAAGCACCAAACGATTTTGCCCTCCAAACTGAACCATCTTCAAGGACAAGTCTGGCATCTGCCAACTTCCATGGCCTATCTACCACTCCTAAGAGAGTTGTTTCATGAAAATAATGATTTGTTTATGAGTAACACTCGGGAAACGAAAAATGAAAAGTCTGAAGAAGAACTGGAAGCAATCTAATTTGTTGATCAGAAACCAGAAATAATAGGATAAGCATACCCAGGGTTTGCTTTTTTGAAGGACCAATTCATTAATTGAAAACAATATTACCCAAGATAATGCACTGTCGCACACAGCAGGATTTACCAATTAACATGTGTTTAATGAGAGAGATTTCAGATATTAGTTCACCTGTAGACGGAGCAGCAGAAGGGAATGAGCACTGGACAGTAAAAACCCTGACTTTGGACGGATACCCAATTGGAGAGTTTCCAATTGCTACTGGATGATGAACTCTCAGAGCACAATGCATGGCTGGTTTTTTTGCTTCCTTTCGTCAATTCCTAGAGTGCCACACTAGCCAATGTTTGTACTCGCGGTTGTTGTTAGAGCTTTCTTTTCAATTTATGGCCTGACGAATCCACGAAGATATATATCATTCTTCACACTTACGAAAAGATATAGAAAGAACTAGTTACCATAAAGTTGTAGTCACTTCAGAAAAATATTTTCAATTATTCAGAAAGATACAACTGTTAGAATGACACAAAAAGTTTCAGTTTCCTATCCAGACAAATCCAAAAATAGTACAAGACCAGTCCAGACTTGAGAAAAAAACTTGGAAAAAACAAGCCCCTATTTCATTTTCTTTTTAAGGTCTTATATTGTTGTAGAAGGCGCTAGTCGGGAGGGCAAGAGTCACCTAGCACCAAGACAACTTAGGCGGTTCCTAGGAATAGTGTTAAAAATACTAGAGGCGTGTCTCTTTCCTCTTAATTTTAAGTGGAGTTTGAAGGCTTGAGACTGAGTACAACATTAATTTTAACTAAAATGGGGAAGATAGAGTTTGAATACGGCTAGAATCTAATAGCTAGATAACTAAAGTTAAAAGTTGACTAAGAACAGGCTCTAAGTGTCTAACATATTTGTATTACACAATTAAACATTTCACATATTATACAAGATGATGAATATGAAGGAGAAACTGAGATTAATAAATAGGCAAATAGAATTAGTTTTCCTTAGTACTACAAATACCAAATATGCAAAACTTCAAATAATGTAGTTTATCTTTTGTTATATGATAAGAAATATCATTATTCTCCTAATTATCTCCCTTCCATTCATGTGTTCAAATGCTTCCAAGCTAAACTTTATATTTTCTGTGACAAAAACTACTATAGCTTTATTGAATCTGTATGGAGCTAGGGTTTCCGCCAGAACCGGCCTGTAAACCAAAACTAATAAAAACCTGAATTGGTACGAAATACTGTAGAAGATATGAGTTCAAACGACGGTTCAACAGCTAAAGAAAAATAAATCCAGGAATTTGACCAGGATGGGAAACAAGGGTTTTGGCTAGAAGACAGAAAGAGAAACACTAAAACAGAAACACATAAATTCTAATTGAGCGAAAATACCAAATTTAATTTAAATCACTCAAGATTTATTAGTCTTCTCGCATCTGTAAATGAGTACCAGACTAAGAGCCGTAGTAGAGCGAATCTGAAACCTTACTTCGATGCCTGGAGTTGGGAAGCCCCCCTCGATTAAAGACTATGGTAGAAGTTAATTTAACTATGCTAGATGAAACATTGAATTAGGAATTCGGGCATACTTACTAGATTTGAAGCCACGGCGTTAGCGCACGGAGAACGACGACGGGGCTGACGGTGTCGAACGACGGTGGCCACTTGGTGGAATGAGAAATCGTCGATCTCAGTTGGCACTTGGTAGGGTAGTTGACAAAGGAGTGATTGATGGTGATACTGGTAACCTATAAGTAAAATTGTGAGAGATATATCTTTGATTTAAAATAAATATTTGAAAATATCAAATTCGAATTCATTTTGCTCTTTACTAAAGACCCAAAAAAATTTGATATTGGGATTTGGGAGATATCAACATCATCTCTGATACTCACAAAACGATCCCAAAATAGATGTGATTTATATATACTCCGTGTGTGTGTATATATATATATATATATATATATATATATATATATATATATATATATATATATATATATATATTTTATTTGATTGGAGAGTAATTGAAAGCTATTACTGATATGATGTAAATTGATCTAATCTGAACTAATTTGATTATGAAAAGAATATATAATTCCTAATAAAATGGGTGTTTTTTAAATTAGTTCCTAAGATAAATCAATTACTGAGATGGTTATTGTTAATTGAGAATAATTTTCAGTTTACCTTACACTGTTTTTTCAAAATGGTCTTTTTTAATTGGGTATTTTCTGAAGTTGATCTATATTTGAAATAAAAACTCATTAAATATAGAATACTAAAGTAGATAGATGTCTTCCTTTCTAATCAGGTTGCAATGTTTGACCGAAGTTGGAAAACATTAATATAAGTTTTAATATCATTTTGACATGCTGTTAGTCAGGAGACTAAAATGAACATTATTCTCAATTAAAGATTTAAGACACTACACTATATGCAGTTCTGCACTGATTAGAGGAATTTAGAAGTTTAGAACCAACAATAATTTGAGTTCCATTGGGGTGGGAGGGAATAATAATGAAGAAGTACGCAATATTGTGGAGAAAATCGCATGCAATTACAAATTTTTAACATTAAAAGATGTAAAAAAATGGATTTGGAATTTTGTAGAATAAACATCAAAACAAAAATTGAAAGTGAAATCATCGGAGGAGAGGGTGTGGGAAACTTACCTCCTCGTCGTTGTCGTTATTGAGAGCGGCGAAGGACAACGCCAAAATAAGATTTGAGCTATTAGATCAAAAATTGGGGATGAATCTCAGCCAATCATTTAAATTGAATTTTAATCCCAAGGTTGAGATGTTCCGCAATGTTATGGGAAAATCTAGAGGGCGCTCGATGTTTCGTTCGTAAAATTGATTGTTCATATCCCTCTAATTCTTCTTGTAAACTCTCACCCCGTTCCGATCCGCACATACCCCCCATAATGAGCATGTCTCATTTATTTATAAATAAAGATTCATTTTTTTATTAAATATTCGTACATGAGTATTCATCTAGTTTTGATATATTGCAGTGAAATCTTGACCATCGGTTAGATAAAATTGATATTAAATATTGATACAAGTGCAATTATTTTTAAATTTATTTTATAAAACTTTTTTTATGTAATTAATATATTATAAAATTTTTATTTAATTGTAAGTCAAAAGTTAAAAATATTCAACCGTAAAAATTTAAAACCCAAATAAATACTCTCTCCGTCCTAAAACTTTCTTCCCAGCACTATTCCAACTTCACGGGAATTTATATTTATTTGTGTATTTTCATGGCCTATATGATAAAATAAAATATTATTGTCACCACTTGTTTTGTTGAACTTTTGATATAGTTTTTAAATATGTATGTTTTATTTTTTATTTCTATACCAATATTTAAATAAAATAGATTGAAAAAACTTGGGATTTTTCTTCGTTTTGCGCAACGGAAAGAAAGATATAGGACGGATGGAGTAATTAAGACATGCCACAAAAGTAATAATTTCATAAACAGATATGGTAGATTCATCCACCATCTCTCTTTGTTTATAAATAAAGAAAACTTTGTTTTCTCATTACTAGAGAAGGAGAGACGGTGGGTGAAACTAACTTTTCCATCTAAGAGCCCATTATTCATCTGGACGTCTAGATCTCTCTATCGGCAAACTATAAAGAAAAAATAGATTATATGAATAAACGATGTGGGAAATAAATATTTCTAGCTTAATCACCAGTTTGCTAATTCGTTTTGCATCAAACATTTACCCGGAGTATCATTTGGCTTCAGTGGCGGATCCAGGATGTTAGATAGTAGGAATCACTTTTCGGGTTTTCGGGGGCAACGTCCCCAAAACTTTTTTTATACATGCAATGTGAAACTTTAAAAAAATAATGAATTTACCCTCAAACAGTTATTCAAATAGTAAAAAATAAAAAAAACCATTTTTTTATTTAATTCCAATATTATAAATTATTTTAATTATTACTCCGTATATTTTTAGTGTACTACTTTAGAGTTTATCTTTGGACTTTTAAATGTTTCACTTTAAAATTATATTCTTTTAATATTTAAATATTTAACTTCTCTCATTGTTTTCTTACTTAACACTATTAATTGAGGTCTCTAATGTTTTCAATTGGGATCTCTAATATTTTTAGCTGGGGTCATAAATTACCCTACTCTAAGAAACATTAAAAAAAAATTAAGTATCACAATACATATGATTAAAAAAACTTAAAGTAGTAGGGGGCCATTGCCCCCAACTACTATAATATGGATCCGCCCCTGTTTGGCTTCTGCCCATATTCCACCAATATCTAGCACTAACTTTCTATTCATTTAATTACTATCTCCGTCCAGAAATATTTATCTAATTTTGACTTTTTCAGTCAATTATTTTTAATTTTTGATCTTTAATTAAATAAGATATATATTGTACATTAACTAGATAAAATAATATTTTGAAAATATTTTGTATAATAAATCTAATTAAACTATTTTTCTATCAATATCTAATACGGGATATCATTTTTATTTAATTTGAGGTCAAAGTCTACCAATTTTGATCGAAAAAAAATGGACAAATACTTTTGGGTGGAAAGAGTAATTTACACTAGATTTGATTCGAAAAATTAGGAGAAAAAGGAAAATAATTTTCTTTCATATATATCTGTGTGTGCCGTGTACGTGTGCGCGCATGTGTGTGTGAGGAGCCTTAAAATGACAACACAAAATGTACATCATATATTCAACACTTCAATGGGTGTATTTACGATATTCCGTTTGTAATATTAATCGTTCTTATGTGATTTGGTTCATTTCAATTCTCTTTTTGTACTTTTATAGTTTGATTTTTACGTGTTTTTTGGAATCAATTCCAAATGTGCTCACCCCTATACAAAGTACTCCCTCCGTTCTCAAAAACACTTCCTCTTTCATTTTTTCCACTTCCAACAAAACACTTTCCCTTTCTATTAAAAAACCACTTTTACCCTTACTTTTTCATACCCTACCTATCACATCATACTTTTTCTCTAATAATCTATCCATCACATCTTACTTTTACCCATTACATCAGGGGCAAAATTGGAAATCAACTATAATTTAACACTTCCTTATTTTTGCCCCAAATCAAAGTAGGAAAGGTTTTTCCAAACGGAGGGAGTATTACGAGTATAAATTTTTCTTCCACTTTCTTTATATGGTAGATATTGTATGGTTTGTATAAATTAAACTAAGAATAAAATTATGAAACAAAAGAAATACGAAATACGGAGTATGTTTTAGTTATATTTAAAATAATTATGCCAATACAAATTTGTAATCATCGTCCAAACAAGCACTTTGGCTGTGTCCCGTTCAACTCATTTTTTCTATTTATTATTTATTTTTATTAAAATCAAATCAAATCAGATAATATTAAACTAGATCACATCAGATCAGATCTAATTAGATTAGATTAGATCAGATGAGATCAAGTCTAATCAAATTAGATCTAAACAAAATTAATATGATTATAATTACTATTTCTATATATTCTTATTACTATAATTACTACTACTATTATTATTTCTATTATTATTATTACTATTATTAATAATATATCTATTATTAGTATTATAACTATTATGATAAAAATTTTAATTTTAATTTTAATCAAATTTGTATCTTACTTCAAAAAAAATTTACATCAGATATCCGACTAGATCAAATCAGATCCAATCAGGTCATATTAGATCCCATCAGATCAGATCATAACAGATCAAAATTTCAAAAAATAAGATCAGATCAAGCAAACACAACACAACCTTAGAAGTTCTATTCACACAAAAAAACTAATCATACTCATCACTTAATTGATCTCTTAAAGTTACAAAAATCAAAATTACAAGTATTCCATCGGTCCTAGAAACTTTCCCCTCTTTTTTTTTTTCTCATAAAATCTTTATCTTTTCTATATAAAAAAATACATTTACTGATACTTATTTTTAGGTCACATATCACATCATACTTTTATACTAATAATCTACTTATCACGTCTTGCATTTCACTCATTATATCAAGAATATTTTTGGAAAGTTAACATTTAACACAAAAATACTCCTTTAAATTTTATAAAAATCAAAATGATAACATCCGTTTGGAATTAAAGAAATACTCCGTAATAAATTAGAACTTGGAGAAGAGATGAAAAAAATAATATTTTAAAAAACTGCATGAGTCACCAACAACGCTTTCTTAGCTTATCATAGATAAAAAAGATTCACTTTTTTATTTGTGAGAAAGGAAACATTGCTGGTGACTCATACATGAGTTTTGAAGATAGCTTGACTCATGAGTAATCTTCAAGGTGAAATCTTTGTGTCTGCAAGTTATTAGTGAGGAAAAATATTAGTTTAAAATATGATGTGGGAATTGAAAGAACCTAATTGTTGCCGACTTCCTTAATCACATAATTTTTTTAAGGTAAAACAGATGCTCCCACTCTTTTCAAAGTAATTTCTCTTCTATTTTTTTGTTTTCTTTAAAACAGTTACACTTTTATAAAAAATGCTTGATATATTTAAATAAAGTCATCACAATATATTCTATTCATTTTGCATTGATATAAAAAGTTATTTAAATAATTTGTCTATCTTTTTTCTTTTATGCTAAAGATATAATTTGACTAGCAAATTACGAAAATAAATCTATCAAAAGTTAAAATAAGAAATATTTTTGCAAACAGAGGGGTCGCTTAATAGTCTCTATAATCTTTCAATCAAGCCTAGTTTGATCTAGTCTCTGGCTTCATCCTCGAGGGTTGTTCTCCCTTCTCGAAGAGAAAAAGACTTAAGCAGAAATTAAACATAGAAAATATATCAAAATAGGACTTCGTGTTTTTGTTCCGAAAATAGAAATTAAAATGCATATAGAATGCTAATCATGTGAATATATAATACAAAAAAAATATTGTCAAATGTTCATATACAGTATTGCTACATTATCACAATGCAGACTCCTATTTTGAGATAAAAACACAAAACATCTATTTTAGAACGTTCTTTATCTCTTACTCGTATTTAGGTTGATATTTTATACCATAATAATTCACATACTAGTAATAATTTAGATGTTACAAAAATTGATCCAAACTATTTTTTAACCGTGATTTGACTTGAAAATACTAGAAGTAATTTTTAAACAAAGTTTTGATGATCGAACTTAAGCAGGCCTACTAAAAATGGGTAAACACAACCTGATCGATCCACTTTTAAGGTAAGCTTTTTAAAATCATATATGTGCTTTAACATGAAGTATAATGAAATAAAAATAATATTATAATATTATTTTTTGGGATATAATATGTTTCTCATCCCTATAAACTAAGAGACTTTTTTCTTTTCGTCTCTCTAAAATAATATTCCGTTCATATTCGTAATGTATTTTTTTGCTTTGCAAATATTCCTTTTGATATTTATTTTTAATTTAGATTTAATGGTGAATTTGTTTTTAGTCCCTAGAAAATTAGTGATTTTGTTTTTGGTCCCTCGAAAATGTTTTAAATCCAAAATAATGTGATTTTTGGTCCCTTTAAATTTTGACAAATTAACTCTAAGTTGCTGAGAAGACCACTCGTAAAAATAAATATTCTACAGAGATGGTTGAATTAAAACATATTTTAGATGGCTAAAAGTAAAATTTACTCTTTTTACATGGACCAAAAATGTAATTAATCCTATTTTTTTTTCTTATCAACCCTTTGATATGCAATTTTTGGTATAAAGTTAGATATCCTAAAAATAAAGCTCATAATTTGTTGTGTACCCAGAACTCGATGACACTTAATCATAAATATGCAATTTCCAACTCAATTCAAAGTAACCCAAAGCCAACCTTAATGGCCAATTTGTAACCTCTAAGGATTCGTTTCATTCAATTTATTTTTTCAATTTACCACTTATTCTTATTAAAATTAGATCAGATTTAATAAAATCAAATCCAATCAGATCAAACCAAACTAAATTAGAAATGGTTTTAAATATAACTACAAGTTAGTATATATATAATGGGTGTTCGGATGTTGGCGAATCATCAAAATTTGGCTGGTTTGACCCATTCTAGCTTCTTTGACCAATCAAAATGCCACAAATCATTTTTGGAAATTGGCCGGTTGGAAGCCAATAGCCAAAAACAAAAATGCTAATGGTAGCATGCAGTGTTTCAATTATTCTTCTCCCATCTCAAATTGGTCTTTCTCAATATATTTGAATAATTTCTAAGACAAATATTAGAGTCACGAAGTACTCATAAATTTTACAAAGTGATCATTTGTAAATTAAATTCTCACTCATAAATAAATTTAGACTATTTTATTATTGAAAATAAGTTCACAAATGGTATGTTTGTGAAGTCTGTGATTACTTTGTTTGTGATTCTAAAAGAGCAAAAAATTTATAGTTTGCAGTTTTTCTCTTATATTTAAACAATTTTTTATAAAATAAAGAGTATAAATTATTTTCAATATTTTTAAGAATTTTGTGAAGTCAAATTAGGATGACAATAACAATTTGGAAATCACGAAATCCCATTTACAGGTGAAACGAAAATGCTTGCTTCCCCACTTCCAAAGTCACATGCTGAATCGATAAATAAAATATTACGGCTTATATAACAAATAATGTGTCCGATAAAACAACAAGCGTTTGTAGTCCAACGGTTAGGATAATTGCCTTCCAAGCAATAGACCCGGGTTCGACTCCCGGCAAACGCAATTTTTTTTTTCCCGTGCTTTAAAGGCAAAAATCCAGATTTTGTAGCCCATGAAAGCCCACTATTGAAAACCGGCCCCTTGAAAATAAGATTTATATCTTGAAGTCATTGATTTATATTCACATTTTTAAAATGTCTATTGAAAATGTATTAAAAATATGCACTTATATTCATATTTTTTTGATTTTGCAAATTTTCTTTACTATAGTATTATTCAAGAATGAAATAAAATAAAATATAGACATTAACAATTAAAAGAATGATATAATATAAAACATTTTTAATAAAAATTACACTATATATATAAATTTGAAAATGAATATGTCAAAGTCTTATTTAAATTAGAAATATTTAAAAAACATCGAGATATATAATTTTTTTGTGAAATTGCACATGCGTACTTTAGTCATACTTTAATTATTTCACTCGCAAAACAAAAATATAAAGTCAATCACGAGTGGATACTTAATTATTAATAAAAAAATATAACAAGTGACAATGTTTGGATTTGACTTCCATTAATAGTTATAGCGAAACATAAACTATCGAAAATTATCTTCTTAGAAACATTAGCGATAATCATCGATCAAATGAAACTATATTCATTTATGATATGTTTGGAAACTTGAATTTGGATTTCAAATTCGTATATGGCTTAAATTTAACTAGTATCACACCCATGCATTGCACGACTCGTATTTACGTTTCTAAACTTATATCGTTTTTGAAAGATCCAAATTCATATATAATACGGAGTAGAATATATAGATTTTATTATTTCAAGGTACAAAGTAAATAAAAGTTATTGAATCACAATATATAACTTATACACTCTTCTAGGATAATCTCTGACACTGTTTTTGCACTTAAACCTTGAACCATCTGGAAAGTTTATAGTTGCACTTAATTGGTGCAACCAAGTTAACATCATTGTTGGTAATCTCAATGTCAACCACATCACCAATTACCTAATAATATCCTTTTTGCAATCAAATATTAAATATATGTGTGTAGTTTTAAAAAAAGTCAAATCAAAATTTCAGCCGCAAATTTTGTTCATATTTAATGGTTTTTTAACATTTTCTTGCCAACTGATAATAAAATAGAGAACTTTATATACAACATAAAAAAAGGAACATTATTTAAAAACATAAAAAAATTAGAGGGGCTGACTATGAAAGTGATTGAAAATTAAATGACCGCATTTATAGTATGAAATTTTTTGTTTCTTTTTCTATTTAATGGCATCTATTTTTTTTATAATTTATAATTTTCGGAACAAACCCAGTCCTTTAATAAATGGATTTTTTTAATTAATGCCTCTATTTTGGAGAATACTATAATTAATGGCACCATACACATTTATTATTGTTGTTGTTGTTGTTATGTTATTATTATTATTACCATATAAACATGTGCAAGCTAAGTAACCGTTGTTA